GAGCATTACGTATTTGCTTCACTCACTAACGTTCTCCTTTCTTGACTTTGAATCCCTAAAAGAGCAACTGAACCTCTAGAATTTTTGTTTTTAAGACAGTGTTTTAAAAAACTGGCCCAAGATGGTAAAACTAATATCAAAAGCAGGTTCAGAGCTAGAGACATGGTTAGCCTAGCTTAGCATAAAGACTAGCAGCAGGTGGAACGGCTAGCCTCAATAGCTCAATTTTAAAAAAAGGCTACCCAACGCAACTCCCACTAAAACAATAAACTTGTTTACACACTTTTGGATGCGCATGTTTATTATGAAAGCAGATTTTTTTTTGTTGCTTTGGACAGAGCATGGCTAAGCCAACTGACTGTTTGGTGGTTAGCTAACAATAGCAAAGCATAATAAATGGTGGAAGAATTAGCCATATTTTCGTCGAAAGGTCCCCAGATTGAACAAACAAGTTTTTTGTTTGTCATCATTGGAGGGCCTGGAAGAAGGATTTATTTTTCCAGCCCACATTTGGATAGAGCCAGGCTAGCTGTTTCTTCCTGCTTCCTGTCCAAGCTAAGCTTACTGGCTGCTAGCTGTCCCTTCATATTTACCAAGTTTGGTATTAATCTACTTATCTAACGCTTGCCAAGAAAGCAAATAGGCGTATTTCTCAAAATGTCAAACCTTTAAAGTGCAGGGTTGAATTCAATCTTCTATTTTTACTCTTGATGAAAGGGGTATTATTTAAAGAATAAATCATAAAACATCCTCCTTATGTATTTTCAGGGCTTCCATTGAATTCTGTAGATATGATTTATCTCCAGTGAAATGTCACAATGCAATGTGTTTCATATACAGCAAGTCAAAAAATATGATTTGATGGCCAAAAATGTGGGATTTCACTTCATTTAGGCCTACTGACCAACTTCACTTCCAAAAAAATTCCCATCTTACAATTTCAGACTTGATTTTTTTCTTTCCATAACATAATGTGTTCAACACATTTTCAGAGCTTGTGATCAACTCTGCTTTTTTAATCAAAGTGCAATACCCTGAGGCTGATTTAAAAAGATGGCGACAAGAAACAGAGCCAAGTCATCCCAGACCGGTACTCATATAACTTTTTATGAAGAGGCCTCCCCCTTGTGAAAACTAGAATGAAATCTGACGTGAACAATCCTCACCAGGAGAATTGGAAAAGTACGATAGTTTCAGAGCTGACATCTTCCTCAGGTTACGGAGGAAAAACTCAGTTTTTTGCTTTTTGTATCTATGTGCTTCTGTTGATAACCATCGCGCTAACTGATTTATGGGTCCTTGTTATTGTGCCATGCTTGCGAAATCATACAATAAAGCTCTATTACAACAGTATGAAAGGCTTTAAAATAGACAGGCAATTATCATCATGAAGGAGCTGAACTGATTTGATTATAAAGGCTTTCATTAAAGCCATCAACTCTCTGATCCTTAACGTACTCTAGGGCAGGGGTTCCCAAACTTTTCAGCCCGCGACCCCCAAAACAACAGTGCCAGAGACTGGCGACCCCCTTTTTTTTCAGAAAAAAAAGAAAAAGTTTGAGAAACACTGCGCTAGTGGATTGTCAAAGAAAAAAATGTCTATGCAAACGTTATCATTAATAATAATTTTAAAAAAAATTATAAAAAAAATTTATCCATTTTTTTTTATAATTTTTTTTTTTTAATTTTCCATTTTTGTTTGGTAACCATCTCGCGACCCCCACTTTGGGAACCCCTGCTCTAGGGGACTTTACAAAGAAGCCATGAGTCAATCATATCACTTGTTTTTTCACATTGACACTATGTCAGAGCTGCCAAAAAAATCACACTTCTGCCGCTCTCACCCGTTGACGTGTGGCAGCTTGAACTCACCGTGAACCGTATGGGTCCAGGAAACGTCTCTTTCCTCATGCCTCCGATTCTCCTCTATTTCAAAAGAATAGGCTTGCAAAACAGGCACGTTAGCTCCCTTGACAGTCTGCTAACTTATCACCCTGTCATTTTTCTCTCTCTGATGTCTTCAGGACTTAATTGTAATGGAAGTCATGTGATGAAAAGAGGGCAATCGGAGAGTAAAGGCGTGCCCACCTCGGAAGCATCGTCCTCCCTAGCTGTCTGCCCTCGTCCACCCCTGGGTTTTCCCGTGTGGCTGGAGAGCAAGACAGATGGACATATTGGACGGATGGACAGACAGGGACGCCCTTCCCTCTGCTGTGAACTCAGACTCACACGAGCCAGACTCCATACATTCATCTTGTGATGTTCACGGAGGGAATGTGATATCATGGAGTTGCTCTTTGGCATGAAAGGTTTGTTTTTGAGTCGCATGAGGTGTCAAATTCTGGTTTCCTGCCATGTCCACGTTATCGTCTTGTCTGTCTAACATTTGACCCAGTGTCTTGAGACCCACCTATCTCTGTCTATCACTGGTTCTCACTCTGACTGTGCGTCTGCTCATTTCAGGAAGTGTCATCACCCTCCGGCTCTATCAATTGACTTTGAGTCAAAAGAGCTGCTTATCAAGAAACAGTATTTCCTTAATTAGTTTGCTTTCTCCTCTCTTCTCTTTTCACTTCTCAAAACTGCAGATAAAAATAATTTCTCCCCTTTCAATTTTGAACAATAAGGGCTTAGCAGGATTTAAAAAAAATGCCCGGACTGCAGAACAGAATTTGTTCATTTCCTCCTCATGTAGTTTCAGCTTAGTCCTCAAGAGAAAAAGAATCACGAGGATTTACTTTGAATCTGTACGATCACTAAGTGTCTTCATTCTGTGACCTTTTTACAAACAAATAGCAGTGTTGTATCACAAATAATACATTTCACAAATGCACAGTATGTAGGCCAAATCTATGTAAAATAAAACAGATGGGTAACTCTTCTGGTAAGAGCAGTTTACACATGGGGACAAGACTCTATCTCAATCACCCTTTCCATCTGATCCACGAGCTTAAGCAGTCAAGTGAGTGGATTTATAGACCTGAGGCTTATGGCTTAGTCATGATTGCTTGAATTGGCTGCGTCTCAATTAAAATAAAGTGTTTTTACTCCTAATGAGAGAACGGGACATTTGGGGAAGATTGAGACAGATGTAGAAGCTCACTCCATGGTCATTGATTGGAAAAATAACATGGAGAACTGGTGCTTTTTGTCATGCCAGTGAATACTTTTTCAGAAAGAATTTAAAAAGTCATGTTTCCAGAGGAAATAAACTGGAAAAGGGCAAAGATTGCCTCCAGGAAACCTAAATCATATGTATGAGTGGTCTTTAAACCGTGTATATGTTTTACCACAGTCAAAAAGGCCAAATCCTGAATACATCTTAATTTGAACGTTAACATATCCTCAAAAGAAACAGGCCTCTTCTCTATTTCAATCCAAATTCTCTGTAAAGTACTTTCACTTGTGCAGCCTTTTTTTCTTTTACTGTGTTCAGCTGTAAAACATTTGAGGAAACTTTATGCTTCCCCATTCAACTCAGAGTGTAACTGGAGGTTCTCCGCCGACTATAAAAAAGAAGAGGGAAAGGAAAAATGGTTGAGGGCAGGATGAGGTCCTCGTCTCTGTGTCTTCATAGTGCGGGCCGCGGCCAGGCACACTCTCATGCAAAACCTCATCCGCACAACTCTTTTCTCTCCATTTTTTCTCCCCATTTCTTTCTGGCACACCAGTGAAGCTCCGTAAAAATGAATTATGTATCTGAAAATATGAAATGTGTACATTGAACACTGGAGAAGATCGTACCTGATACTTTATACCGACAGATATGGCAGTCTGTAGGTGGATAGTTTGGCAAACATATTATTTTTAAGAATTTATTTGCTTGAATTGTTAATTAAATTTAAAAAAGGACGAGTACAATATGCCATAAAATACATTTACAATTTTTGAAAATGACAAAATTTGTTTGAGTAAGCAGTATGTATTATAAAGTATTCAATGCATTTTAACATGGTGTCAACTCTGCCAACTATTTGTATTGTATTTGTCACTTTTGCTCTTTATTTGTTCTGCTAACGGACACTTTTTTCCTGGAAAAAGCCTCAAATCAGATCAAACACAACATCTAACAAACGAGTAAATCGGCTTGCTATCAGTGTGGTCTCAGAAACCTTCACTTTGGCTTTGGTTAGTAAAAACACCCACAAGAAGTCACTTGTAAGGTGAACAAAGATGGCAAACAGATTTAAATGAAGGCTGTTGAGGCAACATGGACCTACATGAACGTTTATGGCTTTCTGACCCCTCCCAGATAAACAAGTCTGACCTGACTCATAGGGTGGGGATGACACAAGACACAAACATTTGCTAATGCACTCTGGCTGGGGGAGAAACCAAATCAAACAGAAAAGGCTAATAAAAGCACAGGCTACAATTCCAGTCATGATCATTCTAAATAATAGCCTCCCTTGTACTTTGGCTGAGGTTTTGGCTGTGAGGAGGTTGGTCATGGGGCTCCCCAATGTGATGGCAATGCACTAATCTGCCCTGTATGGCCTATTCACATGTGTTCACACCATTGTTTCCAGATTCTAAACAGGAACTGCAATGTTACCCACGGGAATTGTACATTTGTTGTGCAGAAACACTTTAAATGCCACTCTTATTTGAAATCAGCGTGTCCTTGCAGTTTCATCATGCGTGGTACACGTACTATTCGGGAAGTATTGTAGAATAAAAATAGCTATAATAATATGCAGCTGTTACTGCTGGACACTGCAGAGACACATGGGGAGACAGGATGCATACTAAAAAATCAGTTTGAGCCTGGGAAAACCGAGAGTTTGCTCACAACTAGAGCCGTATACCAGTCGGTGCTACAATTTATTACCCGGTAAACACGTGGGAATAGTATTTCAGCGCCACAAGATAAACAACTTCTCCACTCCACGCACATCTCGCGATAGGGGACGCTCCCTCAGTGTGCGCCTATTGTGAGAGTTTTTCAACTCTCGCGTGATCTTGGAAGTTTCCCACGCCTGTTGTTGTGGCGTCTGCCCTTTTCGCTCACTCTCTCTCGCCGCCTCCCCCTTTTTTTCCTCTGTCTTCCTCACCCACCCCCTTTTCTCTCCGTCTCCCTCGTCCCTACACCTCCAGTCTGCTTCTGTTGTCTCGGCGGATTGTTGCGGGCTGTGGGAGAGAAAAGGATATCGCGAGTATTGGAGTTTTGGTGAGAGTTTGTGGAAGATGGCGCCTGTTGTGACAGGGTGAGTCTGAGAATCGGGGCTGGCGGTTGGGGAGCGAGAATACAAGTTATAACCATGAAACAGCTACATTTAAACCCATGTGCTACATTGCAATGTTATGACCTGTGGTTTACTTTGCTTTAACTGTTTTCTTCGTCTCACTGTGTTTGAGTGTTTTATTTTTCTTTGCCCAGTTACTTATAAGCTGACTGTTGCTGCAGTGTTTTGTGAGCTAGCCTCAGCTAAGCGATACTTCACCCTCGGTGGTCTTTTTTTCCCCAGACAACGGCGAGCTGTTAGCTACTAGGCTAGCCAGCAAGCTAAACTACACATGTTTATTAAGAAAGCTATTTAACATGTATATGCGTGTCCAGTGTGAAATTCGTGGTGTAGCATTTGTTTCCGAAACGTGCTCAACATGTAGCCGGGCAGCACGCTTTAAGAAGTGCATTCACGACTTAAACACTGCTAGCTGTCCGATAATGGACGTCAGCTAGCGATATAGTGACTGAAACACGTTGCGGCTTTGTGAGCGAGGCATCCCCCTTTTGGCAGTGTTTTTAAAAATGCATTGGTGAGATATTTCTCAGACACGGCACGCTTGCTGTACATCTCTGTAGTTGGCGTTAGACTGTTATTCTTAACCACATTTTTTAAAGGGCTGTATGACCATATTTTAGGTTTAAGAAAATGTATAAAGAAAGAGTAATTACACAGTATGAAGATGTCAGGCACCCTGTTTCGCTGATGGTGGATTGTTTTGTTGACTTATGATTGTGTTTTTGGCTCATGTTACTGTAAGTATTTGCTGTGATTGACGGGCCATCTATTTTTGAATAAGGGGCAGGTAAAACAAATGAGCTCCTTTCCATTATGGGCTACACAAACTATGCTTAAAGTGTAAACGTTTTGTTTTATTATAATTGCCATGAGTGGAATACAAATACACATTTAAGCTCGGGGGCTACCACGCATGCACAGTGTATAGCAGCGTGTTCTTTTTACGACTTGTGCTTCCTGTTAGTGGACGACAGTGCTGGTAAATAGTATTTACTACTCAAACAACGATTTGCATCTCTGTAAGCAGGTTGCTAATACAAACTCCAACCTAACACTGCAGTGCATCTAAGGACAAAAAAAACACAGAAACACCCACAGCCATGTGCACATAACACCATAACCACTGCAAAATGATCAAAAATTATTCACCCAGATGATCCCCTAATGTAAGATAACTAGCTGCTCTTGGCATACTTTTCCCTGAGTCACATATAAAGTTGTTTTATCTATGTAATGGTGCACGTTCAGTAATTACCGCTAGATCATATATCTGTGATAAGTATGTCAGCCAAGGATTTTAGTGGGAAAATAGTCTTCTGTTTTTGAAATGATCAAAGCTAGAGAATGTCAAGGATATATTTCCTCATAAAGTCAAGCAGTACTGCCTTGATTTGTTACTCCTTGCATCTTTGGTTATGGGAGCACATTATTCAACATAAATAAGCTTGGCGATTACAATTATTTCCCTGCGCGTTAGCTAGACACGAACATATTTCTTTGCACTTTTGATGCTATAATCCCCACAGACAGCTCAGTGGGTGACAGACATTCGCTGGGCTTGTTGGAGGTGTGTGTATGTTGGAAAGAGAAGGGGGGGTTGATGTGCATGTTCACTTGGGGCTTTCCAGCAGACCTGAACTGATTTCAGTTGGGGGGCGGGGGGTGTGAGTAGCGAGAGGGAGGGAGGAAGGGGGCAAGCTAGAGGGCAGGCGGGTCAGGTCTGGGTGGCTGGCCACCTGTCCAGATGATATCTCCAAATTCATGTGTGTTTGTTTGACGAAGGGTTTTTCTGCGAGTGGGGGTCAGTGTGTGAGAGGGGGGTGGGGCCGACGGGTGTTCTGGCGAGAGAGGTTTAACAGAAAATTAAAGTGCCATAAGGGGTCTTTTTTAGCTGATGGCAGGCCGGGTTCACAGTAACGGTTGGAGGCATCACGGAGCCTGACCACAGCTTCATGAACTGTTTGAATGGGGCTGGCTTCACACAGGGAGGGGCTCCACAACCACAGGCTTGTTAACGGCATCATGACTTTCTTGTAATAGCATTACAGAGAGGCTGTGGTTGAATATTTTTTATCTGAGTTAAAGGTTATACTGAAGTGTTGCCCTTAGAGACATGTGTTTGTGTCTTTTTGCTGAATTTAACTTGCTGCCTGGAAATCTATTTATCCTCAAATATTGAAAAAAAGTGTGTTTGCATTTACATGTCATTCTTACTGTGGAGTTTGACACTCGATGTGTATGACACTTTCTGTTTTGCAGACCTTTTTTCTACTGCATAAATCATTTAAATGTACCACACCTGAAATTGCTAGAAAGCCTTGTAGCTTAGACTTTGATATTCATGACAAATATGACACAGCAGAAAATCTACAATTATCAAACACTCCCCTCAGCTTTAAGAATGGCTGTGAAGAATATCTTGTTTGCTTCTTCCTCTTCAACATTTGTCTTTTTATGTTAATGCATTTTTTTTTTTGGTTAACACCAAACGTATGACTTAACATGGTATCAGGGCGGCAATTAACAATTTCCCTCATTAGCTGATTATTCTGACATATCATTTTAAATGTTGAAAAGACCAAACACAATTTCTCAAAGCCCAAGGTGATATTCAACTGCTCATTTTGTATAGCTGACAGTCAAAAATCTAAAAATATTTCTATTAAAATGTATCACTGGCAAATAACTGACCTTTTAACTTAAAAATGTGTCCAAAACAATTTATCGATTATCAGAATAGTTGCTGATTAATTTTCTCTTAAATGACAATTACTACACTTGTGGTGTAAATGTGCAAGTGGCCCTTATCTTTTGCAGAAGTACACAAACACTCCTCTCCCCGGTAAGGCATGGTCTTACTCACTGTTGTGGGTTGCCACAATAACACGCATTAGCAACAAAACTCTCGATCTTCACAGAGGTGTGGGCAAAAAACACAACAAATGAAAATAAGACAGTGTTGCTTTCATATGTTCTTCTCTTTTAGAGAAACTGGTTGTGATAGCTGAAAGAGCAGCACTGTTCACCTGGCATAATAATGGCATGAATCACTTATTTCAACACTGATCTGCCTTTGCTGTGCCCCAGAGGGACGGGATTCCATTTTGCTCACCCCCCTCCCATCTCTTTACCCGAAAAAAGAAGAACGATAGACTCTTTCAGGCTAAAAGCCAAGCGTCTCTGTGCGGGTGTAATGATACTACAGAGCCTTCCTTTGAGACGCACAACCTTGTGTTCTCGCATTTGTTAGCATGAGCGTGCAGTCCGAGCTCCAAGGCTGTGTTGACGGTGATATACTGAGTGCACGTTGAAGGGAGACTGAGTGTATCTAGATATAAAAGTTGATCCGTGTGTGTGTGTGCACGTGCATCCATTCCCCAGGGTCCTCTCCTCTTCCCGGCTTCCCTTTTATGAAAGGAGAGGTTCAGAGAGAGCAGCAGATGTCGAAGCGCTGACCTTTATGGTGGCAAAGGCTCAGACTAGAGTTAAAAGACATGCCGCGTCACCCCCCCCTCGTCCCTCACCCTCGTCCCTCAAAGCAACACACACACACACACACACACACACACACACACACACACACACACACACACACACACACACACACACACACACACACACACACACACACCCACCTTTAGCGGCAGCACTGATGGATTGGTTAACGACAGAGATGACACAAGCCATCTGATCTGTGTGTCACCTCAGTATCCCGCACCCTCCAAAGCGGCCTTATATCCACCCAGAGCCATGGAAAAAAAAAAATCTTCAAAGTGTGTGTGTGTGTGTGTGTGTGGGGGGGCTTTACAGAAGTCACAGGCATATAGCACCAAAGCAAATGAGCCACCGCCAGACATCTTTAGGGGGATTTATCCTCATGCATACAGTAGCCTATTGTTTTGGAAGTTCATGCATATCCATTACTCCACATGATTGAGATATCCCCCGAAGCCTATACGGTTTTATTCAGGGTTCAGATTCGACTTGTTTGCTCGAGTGACGACGAAGCCTCTCAAAGTTCCAAGTCTTCATTCTCTTGTTTCCATATTTAGAGTGTTTGTCTGTCTGTCTCAGGGGAACAACCACAGGAGACACCCAAAGGGGATAGAAATGCACATGGTGTAATTTGACTTGGGTTGCCGTCAGCTTGGCACTACACATTCCTGGTCCCCAGCCACGTGCTAAAGTGTGCACAAACCAGATATACCATCATAGTATGTCACTGTACCTTGACTTCCCCTCTGCCTATTCAGAACAAGTGGCTTTCTGAATAGAGTGGTGCAGAAATTAGTTAGCAAGTATTTGGTTATATTCCTGAAACGAGCTAACTAAATAATACTACTCACCGTCATCACGTCGAACAAGAGTCCGCCCGTAGCTTAGCGGGTGAAGTGTAGTCATGCGACAGTGATGTAGTTTGTTTATAGCATTATGCTCACTGTTGTGGCACTTTACGCTTCAACTATTCAACAAGTGGGATTAATAAGTAGAGATGGTCCTGCTGAATGAAAAGTGTTAGTATCATAGCATGTGTTCGCAATATTCATAAAGTCGAAAAAGAAATTGCATCATTGCACCACTCTGTTGATGATTCATTTGAGGGGCCTGCTTCACCTACTTTCTGCAAGACCAAGGCCTCATAAGGGGTTTGGATTTCTCACAAAAAAGCCACAACAAGGGGGGGCATTTATTTACTTGTGCAAGACTTGGAATGCAACAGTGTGAGCTTATGCTATTTATTTATTTTTTCTATCTGTGGCTCTTCCAAATATGTTGCTGCTGTTTTGCTTCTGCACGGATAGGACGGAACATTCTGAGGTAAATCGAAAGCCAGTGTGGTTTTGAAAAACAGCCCTGCCGTCATGTTTGATAAAGGCCCAAGTCCTCGTGGTGTTGTTGCTGGCATCGTCCTCGCTGCTAAGGAGAGACGGAAAGCTAACACGAGGCAAATGCGAACGGCG